GAATGTCTGTTTGTCTGTATGTATGTATGTACGTATGTTCCATAGAAAATTCCATTTCTGAACCGATCCGGACCAAACTTGGCACACATACACATCGGGCCCCGGCGGGTGTCATAGGCTACTTTTCGTCATCGATCGATATCGATTTTATCGATTTTTATCGATTTTTTTGCTGAGTTCACCTACGGGGCTGGGAGTTGGCACAGGGGGGTAATCGAGCATGGGGATTCCGAATACAATATTGGTTTTCAGGATTATCGATTACTTTTATCGATTTTATCGATTTTTTTGCAAAGTTTGAGCTACGGGGCTGGGAGTTGGCACAGGGGGGTAATCGAGCATGGGGATTCCGAATACAATATTGGTTTTCAGGATTATCGATTACTTTTATCGATTTTATCAATTTTTTTGCAAAGTTTGAGCTACGGGGCTGGGAGTTCGCACAGGGGGGTAATCGAGCATGTGGATTCCGATCGTAATCAGCATGCTCGATTACCCCCTGTGCAAAATCCCAGCCTCGCATGTCAAAATTTACAAAAAATCGATAAAATCAATAAAAGTAATCGATAATTCTGAAAACTAATATTGTATTCGGAATCCCCATGCTCACTTCCCCCCCCCCCCTGTGCCAACTCCTAGCCCTGTAGGTGAACTCTGCAAAAAAATCGATAAAAATCGGTAAAATCGACATCGATCGATAACGAAAAGTGGACTGTGACACCCGCCGGGGCCCGAAGTGTATGTGTGCCAAGTTTGGTCCGGATACGGCGGAGCCGGGTAAGCCAGCTAGTATCATAGAGGATCTCCATAGGCTTCGGGCATATTGGCCGTCTCAGTAGAATATTTCAGGGTAGGTATATTTTAGACGATGTAACGCCCATACACGGCCACTCTGCAGAATTTCTACTTTTGCTTTTTTCGAAAACCACCGGTCTAATTTTATAAATTCTCCTCTCAAATATAGGTCTTCTTGATTCCCGAAAACTACCTTCAGTAGGGTATGATTAGAGCATTACGAGACATAAATTGTTCAAGTTTCTCAATGGTTTTCTGTGACAGTGGTGTAAAAACGGTGCCACTTATTTTGGCGCACCCTGTATAACCAGCCGCTCACTGCCGCTACGCGAGAGGTTCTGGTATACTCGGTCTCAATAGCTTCGCTGCCTTATACATCTTCCGTTTTACTTCCTCACTGTGAGAGTTTCCCTGTTTGCCAGTCTGCATAAAATAAAAAGCATGTAGTGAGTGAGACTGTCGTGATAGTGTCTATGAGTAAACGACACGGTTGGGGAGGGTGTTGACTGTTGGTGAATTGATATGATGTTTATGCCTGATTTCGTGGATGCGTAATTATTTTGGGTTTTGTTGATGAAGTTGAGCGTTCGAACCCCGTCGAGAAAAGTCAGTGCATGTAACTTAGCTAGTACTCGAGAATGTCATATACAAAAAATCAATAAATGAATGGATAAGGTTAATAATTTGAGGGATAGATATTTTATTCGTAACAACCATGCTTACTTACACCATCGTGCCAAACTTTAGCTCTCCATAGCGTAAAATACGAAGAAACCGGTGAATCGGTGAAACGTGTTTCAAATAAGATTAAATAATAATGGGAATAGCTTATTAAAAACCGCCCCGTCCCGAAGTCTGTGTTTTGAAGCACAGACAGGGGACGTACGAAATTTCATACGTAGATATCACCAGATACGTGTATCTCTTAAATTCCCGTGAAAAGCTGCTTGAATTGGCACGCGAGATATCAACTGGACACCGAGAGTGGGAGGGACTATCACGACGTTTTGCGCATTCCCTATACTAGCCAGCGCACAGGTTGTAAACAATAAGGTTTTGCTGTCGACCCTTTCCTCTTTCATAACTGAACTCTGAACAGATAGTTAATCTCGAAGGCACACGTGGTATTATCCTTTCACCCGCTGCGTTACAAATGCGGCACTATTGGTTCCGAACTAAAAGAAATGAAGTAGACGAACTGAATAAGTGTGGCGTCGTCAATGTTGATATACCCTATTCTTGATCCTGCCAATTCTTTCGAACTCCTTATTCGGAATCGAAAGACGAAAAAGAAGCTGCATTAAAACGAAACGGTCGCTGTATTTGGAAGAACTCGTTTTGATGGTTCTGAAGATAGCGACACAAATGGAGGCATATGATTTTTGGCATCCTTTTTGTAAAAGCTTCTAATCAAAAACTTTTGAATAAAGAACGGGTTATAAAACGTTGTTCATTCGTGTTCTCAGCATTCTTCGTAAATGTCATCTCTAATAAGTTAGATCTTTGCAACCCTATCGCTACGTGATCGGCACAAGCAGATAAGTGTAGTTACCTTTCTTCTTGAAATGTTGTCAAACTGCCAAAAGGAGGTTCACAAGTTGGAAAATGCTGCAAAAGTGCTTTTCAAGCACCGCAATTCTGAGAAAGGGTTTTGGTCCCACACAATCTAGCACAATTTGAACATACATTCCCCATCAAAATTTGCGTATCAACACAATTTCTGTGCCACAGCGGCATATATCGAAGAATAAATAGTTCTGCAGAAGAATAGCAAGTGTATTTATTATTCTGGAATTCTTGATGTAATGATGAAAACATAAATTATCCCATAAATGTATGCCTCCCTATTGCAGTCATATATACCAATCCAATATTACATATATCTTAGATACATCCATTTATTGGGTCGTTCCAAAAGTAACTTCGCTTTTTTTGTCAAACAAGCGTAACATCGGGTAGATCAAAGATCTTCAAAAGCTTTGATACATTCGATGCAGCTTTTCATCCTCCTCTACAAGATGGTTTCCTTATTCCATTTGAACCAGGGAGCATTCAAAAAGTGATTGAATACAAGAACTCATTATAAATCTATAAGTCTTTATCTGAAACTTCCAAATAGGAATTACCCCTAGATCAACAAAACCAATGAGCGTTTGCTGATTCGAAATGTTGATCCCCGAATTCTTTAGGTATTTGGGTCGTGGTCAAAACATGTGCTATGTGATTTCATCCTAGAAGCTTTAGGAATCGAAAGCAAAAATCTATCAGAAAAAGGAAAAAAAGCCTCATTGCGTGACAATCGAGTTGCCTCGCCGCTTAATCTTCTATGGGGCTTGAGTTGACTAAATATTGAATTCAATAGCATCAAAATATAATTCCACAAATTTTGAAAAGCAAGTTATGGAAGAGAGAATTGTTTTGTATTCTGTAGGGTTTGTTCTATGCATCGGGTACTTGGAATGGTCATGAGGTCAGTATAGAAAAGTAGATTAACGAAACTTTGTTAGAACAAAAAACATTGTATTAGATTGAACCGAAAGTTCTGTCGTTTCATTTTCAAAAATTTGTAACTTCGCGAGATTTCAACAGATTTGCTTGCTTGTAATTTTATTGGAGAGAATTTTTGTGGGACTTCTGTTTCACACTGATGCAGAGATAAAAATGGAAAACTAAGACCATGTAAACTTTGACCATTTCAAGTCAGGTCACCAAAAAATCTGGAATGCTGCAGAAAAATTTGAAATCGTCAGCACATATGTTTTTTGGCCTACTCTAATTGTGAAGAGTTTGCGCTGTTTGGACGTCTCTGTGAGAAGTTATGATTTTCGCGAAAATTGACAAATTAATCAATTTTGGCGTTTCCCATAATAAACTCGATGTTCATAATTTCTCACAGAGACGTCCAAACAGTACAAACTCTTCGCTATTGCAAGAAGTAGGCCAAAAAACATATGTACTGACGACTTCAGATTTTTCTGCAGTATTCCAGATTTTTGGTGACCTAACTTGAAACAGTCAAAGTTTACATGGTCTTAGTTTTCCATTTTTATCTCTGCACTCAGTGTGAAACAGAAGCTCCACAAAACAGCGATTGAAAGCGGAAGACTAATCTTTCTAATAAAATTACAAGCAAGCAAATCCTTTGAATCTCGCGAAGCCACAAATTTTTGAAAATGAAACGACAGAACTTTCGGTTCAACCTAATATCAGGTTGACCCGAAAGTTCGTTTGCACCATATTCAAAAAATCATTACTTCTTTCCGTCACAACAATTTTGCGAAAATCAAATATTTTACTAGAAAGCGTAAAGCATGTGGTTTCCAAAAGTCTCCTGGGAAATTTTCAACATGCTCAGGTTGCAGAGATAAAAATGAAAGAACGAGATCATCCGAAATTCGGAATTTTTAAGCAATCTAAAAATCTAAAAACTGTTAGATAAAATCCAGAATAGCTATCATCCTATGCCAAGTTTGTGCTGATTGAGCTCTTCTTTCAAAAGCTATGATTTTTATAAAAAATGCCGAAAAATCATTTTCTCAATAATTCTTAAGAAAATGATTTTTCGGCATTTTTTCAAAAAAAATCATAACTTTTGAAAGAAGAGCTCGATCAGCACAAACTTGGCACACTTAGTGATAAAATGTAAGAAAACTTAGGCTGATAGATGTTCTGGATTTTATCGCACAGTTTTTAGATATTTAGGATTTTTGCTCAAAAATTCCGAATTTCGGATGATCTCGTTCTTTTATTTTTATCTCTGCGAACCTGAGCATGTTGGAAAGTCACCACCAGGAAATGCTTTACGCTTTCTGATAAATTTGAACTGCGCGAAATTGTTGCGACGGAAAGAAGTTACGATTTTTTGAAAATGGTGCGAACGAACATTCGGTTCAACCTAATAGTTTTTAATTACTTTGAGAGCTCACTGGAAAGGGGGACCACCATTTAAGAAGAGGATGAAAAGCGCATCGAATGCATCCAATTCCAGGGATCCTTGTTATGCGGGATGTTACTCTTTTTAAATTAAGGAAAATTGCTTTTGGAACGATCTAATACATAGAGCCTACATTTCTTCGGACAAGTGGAGCAATAATCTTAAATTTATACACGTATTCTTCCACACACATTTCAATCATATTCATCAATTATTGTCTGAAAATTTTCACTTCGTTTACGGTCAGCAGAATATACCCTCAATCCTTACAGGAATTACAAAAATGGCTTCATCACAGTTGACTGCTCTGGTAATTGTTTTGATAATTTTTTGAAAATCAAAAAACAATAAATTAAGTATGCTAGAAAGGTTTGCACTCATTGATTGTCACATTCTGAACTACCAATTACGGATTGCGTTCAAAAGCAAAAAACCTTGTATTCCTCATAAAAGATAGTTTGAGGCATACAAGTATTTCTAGCCATTGTCATGCGTTACATTCTTACCACAACATTCTAGGTTCTTTTCATTGCACTAGCAGCTGCCAATGCTTATAAAAAGCGTGAGTTTTGCTTTACTTTACTTTAGTCTTGGCTTTTGCTTCATCTGCGTCTGAACACTTCTCAAGAATTTCAATCTAGCTCACTGTTCAAACAGAGGAATGACGAATGATACGCGTGACTTAATCTTGAGCTATCACAATAACGCTCGTCGAAGAGTGGCTCAAGGGAAAGAGCCAAATAAAGTTGGAAATTTGCATCCAGCAAAGAATATGTATGAGCTGGTGAGTACACAGTCATTTTCTGAAAAACATCTGAAAATCGCATGTTTTATGACATATATAACACATAAATAACATATATACAAGGTGTCCTATAGTATGTATACACTGTTTGATCGTTAACATCTTTTTCTTCCCAAAAAGTCTTTTGCCTTCCTTCAGGGACGTTTTGCAGAGCTGGTTTCAACTTAGACTTACAGCATGGAGCGAATCACCGATCGCTCTTCATTACTGTAGGATTACGGTAGAAACTTCGAAGAGGGTTTTGAGCCATGAAAGGCCATATTTTGCCTCAAAAAGGGAACAAAACAGCTTGGAAGCTTTTACACTAGGAATTAGAGTTTTGATTCTAACTATAAAGTTCCCAACTTATTATGATGCTTCGTTGGAGAGTTATGCCGGGTAAGAGGTAGCGGCCATTTTTTCACGTTCCTAAAAAAGTGCGGTTGCATAGAAAACTTCGCAATCTTGTGAGTAGTTGAGTAATGAACTCAGCGTCTATAAAAACCCTATTACACAAGTTTTTACATTTTTTCAAAGATTTAGACGGCAGCTTTTTCCACATTGACACCATATGTTTCAAGTTTCTACCGTAATCCTATAGTATTGAAGAGCGATCGGTGATTCGATCCATGCTGTAAATCTAAGTTGAAGCCAGCTCTACAAAACGGTACCAGAAGCCAGGCAAAAGACTTTTTGGGAAGAAAGATATTACCGATCAAACAGTGTATACATACTTTACGGGTACCCTGTACATCTGCAATTATACAATGGTAAAACGGATAAAGCGAAACCAATTTGCTGACACTTTCCTTTTTTTTCATCATCAAAAATCACAGCACTTCTTTTTTGCTTGAAGCAATGCATCAGTTAATAAGTACGAGCTATGCTCAGGAATGGGATTGCAAAATGGAGCAGCAAGCACAAGACGCCATTTCTACTTGTTCTAGCAAAATTAGAGATTGGCCAAATATGGCACAGAACATAATCACGTGAGTTCAATGCCTTTCTGTGGATTTTAAATAAGACTGTCTTCTTCAATGGATAGGTGAGCGAGTACAAGTATTTTCATTGATTCGCTCCAGTGAGGATGGGTCTCACTGTTCGACAAGATAGACTGAGAGAACCGCATACAGCCTAAGCAAATATGCGAGTTCTCAGCGAGTTCAATTTTCCTATATATGCTGTAACATATACGAGTGGGTTAAAAAACTTTGAAACGGTATCCCCTTTGCTTTTTCGCTCCAAAAACGAAGTCCAGCTTGTTTCGATACGATCTGGGTCGAACCCTGACTTTAACCCCATAAAATCTGGAAAAATGAAGAATCTTGCTGCTGTTGGTCGATTTCAATGGCGTTTGGGAGACCCTTACATGCCGTTGGAAAACTTCAAAAACTTGGACTGCTAACTTGCGAATAATCATGGTACGCAGTGCTGAATGCAGCTACAAGGAACACGAATTTCTTCCGCTCTTTTCTACTGCTAACCAATTAGGACATCAGGATATATGATACTTTTGTGCGTAACCCACTTCTGCGACGCTAAGATTCTACCCGGCAATAGTCTGAGAACGAAATCGCAGCAAAACCTTCAAACCCGTCTCTAAATAGATTTTTAATGATCATCAAAATCTTACAACTTCTTGGCTTAACTGCGAAATAGGTGTAGAATTCTTTGCTCTGTATTTACAGGTGGACTAGCTTCGACGAATATCATGACCTTACCGGAAACATCAAAACTTCATTAAATGATTGGTGGGGACAAGCAAAACAGCATGGTGTCTATGGCGCAGAAAACAGATACACAGGCCATAGCTTATATAGCTTTGCCAATGTAAGTGCTGCTAACTGTTAGCCTAATGAAAAGATAAATCATTTAATCAAAAGACCGCCTTCGTTGTCAGATGGTTCACTCCGAAACAACAAAAATCGGCTGCGCATACAAAATATGCAAAGGCCGTATTAACACAATGGTGATCACTTGCCTCTACAACGAAATGTAAGGTTTTACTTTTTGCAAGTGAGAAAGTTTCAAGCGTCACTATAGTACTGTTTAGTGGCAGCTTGAAGGATGAGGTAATGTGGGAAACAGGAAGAGCTTGCAGAACTGGCGCAGATTGCACCACTTATCCAAATTCTGACTGCTCCGACGGGCTCTGCACAAAAAAAGCCGATGTAAAAGGTTCACATGCGCTCATTTTGTAATTTTTCCTTTCACAGAATTTCTATCATAAAAAGCAGCGCTCAGGATATGCCTGACACTAATAAATTGCAAATCGAACTCGCGAATCTCACCAATTCTTTCATCAAAAATTTTTCGAAACAGAGCGCTTTCGTTGCAAGCTGTGAATAGAAAAGCAAGTCTACTGTTGATCAGTCACGTGGGTTCCGATTTCAGAAACCAATCATATGTGTCCCAAAAACGGAGGAATGACTGACCGTGTTAGACAAAAATTCTTATCCCTTCATAACCTGTACAGGTAATTTATATAATTCAGTAAATCCGGTAACTATTGTAAAAAACAGTCTGTTAAAATGATGAGGTTAATTTGAAGCAGGCTATCATGAAATTATAGGTCGAGAGCTGCTCGTGGTCTAGAGTTTGATCCACTGGGGGGAAAGACCCCCAAAGCTTCCAAAATGCTCAAAATGGTATATAGACGTTGCAGTTTATCAGAAGCATTCGTCAGATTTTCAGGTCTATGACTGCGCAGTAGAAGCGAGTGCACTGAGATATGCCAAGAATTGTGTCTATGAACATTCTCAGCCATCGGAACATAAAGGACTTGGAGAAAATCTTCACTTCACCACCGCGCTCAACTTGAATAAACTTAAGGCAGCTAGGGAGGTACAGAAAGCATTCAGATCAGTGTTCAAACTTTTGGCGTATACTAACAGGGCTGAGCTAACAGGAAAAAATTTTTTGAACTCACTTTTCTTCTAAATACTTCATTGCTAATAAGCTCAAAAGCAGCGCTTGCGCTCAAGCGCTTCCATAATAGATTACCTTAGTATTTAGGAGCAGGATCTAGCGAGAGATGCGTGTGGTTCAAAGTTTAACCCATTGATCGACGATGTGGACCACTTGGTCCACGCGCTTTTTGCTGCCAGGGACGATGTGGGCCCCCGGCGGCCCACATCTCTTGCAAAGTCGTATTATTTGCAGGTCTAGTATTTTTTCCATACAACAACTTTTTTCATCTCCTGTATTCTTGGGACCTGTAGGCTCCGTCGTTCAAGAAAATATTAATAGTTGTTTGCAAAACAACGTTGCATTTTGTAAATAAGCACAAAACCTTCCCACACTGCAAGTGTTGTGCAAAATCGCGTTGTCCCACAGCACCGCCAGCAAAATTAGCGTCATCGTCAATGGGTTAAAAATAAAAAAAATACCTGTCGTGATCTGACTTCGCCCACTCCCTCCATCATCCAAGGAATGCTGCCTGACATGTAAGAACAGTCAAGACCAGGGCTTGACACGTGCTGGCATCAGGGAAATTTGAAAACGAAGTCCTCTTTGATCTTAAAAACGTTGACTAAAAAAGCGTCGCAATTTTTGTGTCTTTTCGGCTACAAAAACGACATCCCCTTTACTTTTTGTCTCAAAAACGGTATCCAGCTTGACTCCGTGCCAGCTGCGCCAAGCCCTGGTCAAGACATATGATAGTAGATCACTGTGTATATGCTTTCTTTTGCATTCGACGGGATTAGCCAAAGTATTCCTTCGCGCTTGCCAAACTAACAATGATGTATCAGGAGATTTTTGGTTGGTTTTACTTTACTTTAACTTTACTTTGCTTATACACTCAAAGGTGTAACACAAAAGAGAAAGAAACAGCAAAATACAATGCCAGCTACTCAGACAATCAAAGGCTCTCAGCCGACCCTACCAAAAGCGTCGTTGCCTTATCCACTTTTTGCTTCCCGCTGAGAACTTTGCTAGAACTGGCAGCTAACGGGCTGCCAGTTCTAGCAAAGTCTTCAACGCGAAGCGAATGTGGCGGCGATAAGGCAACGACGCTTTTGGTGAAGCCGGCTGAGAGCCTTTGATTTTCTGAGTAGTCTTAAACGCAAAGGAAGTTAAACGCGCACGTTAGAATGAACTAGAAGACCCAGTCCCATAAAATCTGCTAAACAATCAGCAGATAAATACTCAATCAAAGAACGATTAAGCAGCAGAATCTTGCTTCATCTAGATTGATAGACCGTTTTTTGGTTGTCAACGAGCCTGCGGGTGGAAGCTAGCTGACTCGATCCCGGAAAAACTAACTGTAGATGAAGGCAAGATACTGAACGAATTTCTAGGTACAAAGACTTAGCAGTACATGTCTAGACTATTTGAAAGCAATGATTAGGTCTAGGTTCAGACGAGGCATTAGATGTCGATTGAAGCCATTCCGTTGTAGATTAAGACAAGCTGGTTTCAATTATAAAGTATCAATGTTAGTAACAATCGAAAAAATACAGTTAACGGTCGACACTGTACTTGATCTAGCTATCTTTCACAACAGAGAATTAGCGCACAGCTGCTCTATAATAAAACCAATTTGACGAAGCAGGAAGCTCTTGAGGGAGCAGTTGATGTCACATAAATGAAATAGAGTCTCAGTTGCAGTCCAGACGGAAAGAGCATAAAGTATAAGCCATAATTCATACAGCACAAAACAGTCACCAGTCAAAAAAGCACACTTGAGCCAGATCTGAAAAAGAACGTCAAAAAAGTCAAAACGAAAAAAGGGATTATAAAAAAAACACAAACTAGTGGGTAGGTATATATGGTATGTATATGGCAGTGGCGTACCCAGGATTTCGGCTCGGGAGGGGGGGAGGGGCGGGGGGCGGCAAAAAAATCTTTTAAATGAAGGTGCGTGGCGTTAGCCACGGACTCCGAAAAAATCTTAGGGGGGCTTCTCAAAATTTTTGCGGGCCCCCAACCTCTAGAATCTGGAAAAAGGGGACGTGGCGCCAGCCACGCCCCGAAAAAAATTTTTTTAAAAGGCTAATTTGAATTTTTAAAAAAATTTTAAAAATTGTTTTACAATAGTTTACAAAAATAGACAAGTTACTTGCACATTTTTATAACTCATGTAAGTAACTTTCTAAAATTTCGCGACCCGTTCTCGGGGGAGGGGGAATCCCTCGTTACGCCATTGGTATATGGGTATGTCATGGTTTTACTTGATTTGTACTTATTTCTACCTTTGTACCTTTTGTACCTCTTCTATCCAAAAATAGCGCCATGCAAAGCTTAGCAAAGAAAAAAACATCAAAGCCAGAATTGAGATAATTTGGACTAATACTGGAGAGGGTAGGTTTTTTTAGCTATGCTGTAAACCTGGGCAATTGACTTGCATTTTGGAAACAAATGAAGTGAAGTTCTCTTTGAGAGATATAAAACCTTGTTGCCCGGATAAAAAGTTACAAGTACCGCAACGCTTTTCATGAAGTCATTATTGCTACACTGTGTCACTTCTCAATCATGTAAGTTTATCACTATGCAGACGGTCTCGCAGTTTCAAAGAGTTCGTACTCACAAAAAAGGTCACTCCTTATAAAAATTTGGCTTTTGATTTCTGTCTGTATCACACTTTTCAAATCAATTCTCAAACACAATGATTGTCATAAAAACGCTTACCTTTTTGCAAATGTTATTTGAGAGGCACTAATTTCAGCGCTTCTGACAATAAATTGTTGGAAGCTTCTATAGCACCTTTACAGCAATGGCAAGGAACGATGTCTCTTGAGAGTTTGCATTTGGTGTAGTATGGTGCTTCAACCCAAAAGATACATGACACAAAAACAATAGTCAGTATATAATACATCCGGCACATTATTCAAATTTTGCATATCTCTTCACGTATATTGCATGATTTTTAGGCTTGTGAGGAGTGGTGGAATGAACTGAAAAACTATGGCGTCGGCCGTTCAAATAAACTAACAAATGAGCTTTGGGACAGGCCTAATTCGGAAATCAGACATTACACACAGGTGATGTGATTTCCTTTTGTGAAAATTTAGCAGAGGTGTGATGCAGTTTGTTTAAGATGGCTTGGGGAACAACCTATAAGCTTGGATGTGCTGTCGTAGCTTGTCCCGAATTCACATATGTCGTCTGTCAATATGGACCAGCGTAAGCCTTAACGATGTTTGTTACGGTAGTGATGATCCGATTTTTAGTGGCAATAAGATTGGTAAGGTCATTTACTCGATCGGTAAACCATGCAGTGGATGTCCTGGAAAGTGCAGCACCTCTGAAGGATTATGCATTGTTTAGAGATGTACAAATGCGTCCAGTTTAATTAAGAAATGATAATTAGAAGTTGATAAACGAGACACCTAGTATGAAGTTCAAGTTTATAATACAAAATCTTGTGAGCGAGATAAAATTGATCAACAGACAATATATTAGAGCTAAAAAGTAATATTGGTTGTTAAAGGTTTGTGAGAATGTCGCAGATTTTTGTGTGAAATAAGGTACCGTTGAAAAGAGTAAATCAAGGGCAATCATAGAATAACTAACTCTACTTTCTCAAAAATTAGTTTTTGAAGTAGTGTAGGAAAGCAAAACAGCCAATTTCTTTCGTCAAATGTCCGAAAAATCATGCTCAAAAAAAAACTGAATTAGGGGGTGCACTATTGGTAGGTATACAACCTACTTTGATATTTTGATATCTCCAAACATTTGCATGGTCATGGTCAATCAAATTCAAGCGACCTGCATCACCCAAAAATTGAACTCATTGAGCAAACACGTGTAGAAATTCTCAAACAGCAGTCACAAAAGGCCATATGTATACACAAAAATTACTCATTTGCACTTACTAAACTTTAACAACGGGATTTGAAAAGTCAAAATAGTGGAACTCAAGAAGTTAGCTACACATGGTCATAACTGTCTTCTGCTGCAATAAAGAATTCCATAAAATGGGTACCTATAACAGATTTGAGATTTCGGATAAGATTTGATTTCGGAGATTTCGGACACTTTGTTCTTGCATAGTTTATTTGGACATATTTGAGTTCGTGAGATTTCGGATACTTTGTTCTTGCATAGTTTATTTGGACATATATAAAAACATCGTACAGTTTGCTTTGTCTTCCGAACAGTGCCAAGATTTTACAGTGCCAAGATTTTGGTGAAGTACAAAGCCTTGAAGAAGTGGGTGCTCGTCGTAAAAAAGCTGGTCTAAAGAAAAGCCTTTGAGTAAGCTTAAAATTGGCAATACTGCCCCTTTACGGTGTACTGAAAGCGCCTAAGTTGCTGCGAACGGCTGAAGTCCATGTCTCCACAACTTATGTAATTCGATTCGGCAATCATCAGTTGTGTATATGGAACAAGTAATAGAGTTTCTGTCTGCACAAAATTGTCTCCCAACTCGGCAAAGTCCTGTCTCGTTTGCCTAACATGGGCATATTCTTAACAGGGCTCGACATGAGGTGGCTTTTTCAATTTTTCAAAAACGAAGTCCCTGTAGACTTTGGCAGAAAAATACGACATCACCTAAGACACGATCTTGGATGGATCAGAACGATAATGAGAAAATAATGGAACCAAATCTAAAAGCAACTTCGAACAGACGTAGAAAACTAAAGACGTTCGTCTTCTCCAAAAAAGGCGGCATGTTGTGTCCGGCGCGCACTTTTGCGCGCTTGGAGCAGGCTTGCCGCCGCCATACAAAATATTTGGAGGGCTGTAACTAGGCGAGGAAAACGGGGTCTAGGGAGATTCAAAAACTGAGTTGTAGGGTTTTTTGATGTAGAACAAGGTTATGTTAAACATGTGAGAAAATTATGTGAAGGAAGGAGAATATATGACTTTTTCTTTTTACAGCCACCTCAGGTGGCTGTTCAGGTGGCTGGAAAGCCTAAAAACTCCAAAAAAAGTTTGCCACGCTTTCAGTTCACATAATTTTCTCGTATTTTTTGCACATGGTCCTAACACCCTGTTGCCCATCTACACACCAACTTTGCTGTCATTTCATTTTTCCTTTGCTGTAAACAAGTCTTTTGTTTATCCGAGGCATGTTTCAATTCGCGCGCTTAACGGCGAACATTTTGAAACAAGGAATTTTTGGTTTTTGCAGATCGATAAGGTTAGAAATGAGATTTTGCGTGTTAAATAGAAGGTGTGTGACATAAGGACAGAACTTTGTAGGGGGGGGGGAGGGCTAGGGCTTCCGCCCTAGCCCTCCCCCCCTACAAAGTTCTGTCCTTATGTCACACACCTTCTATATATATCAAACGATATTTCCTTGGTTTTTATTCCAAACCGATATTCAGCTTGCCCCGTAAGCCACTTGTGCCGAGCCCTGATTCTTAAGCGATTTCAACAAGCTAAATTCCATCAAACTACGTGATGGTGATTTGATGTAGCACCATTTTCATGGAAGCGTTCAACGTAATGCTCTACAAGCGCTTCTGAAAAACGACGTCCTTGGCTCTTTCATATCCATGTATGGTTTCGGCAAAGTACGTCATTGCTCTTAAGGAATGTTCTCCACTGTAACATTTTCAAGTGCTCGAGAACATACTACTCGCAGTCATTGAATGGACGTGTGTTTCTGAACCTTGAATGAATAAAACACATAGAGTTTACCTGAGAAAGACAAAAGGTTGGCTACCGTGCCTCAACACACAGCTAATGTTTTCAAAAAGCAAAATTTGCGTATAATGTTATCCTAAAAAACATTCCAAATTATAACTCTACGCACCAGATTTGGTCATTCTAGCGCTGGAAAAGGCAGTTGTGTGCAACATGTTGGACAGCAGAGTTTTGCAGTGGCGAGGACTAAAAGCAAGAACCAAGTTGCAAGAAAAGTTGCACCTACGACGGCTATTTGATCGATTAAAAAGAACTCTTGCCGTTAAATATCGTGAATAAACTAGACCAATAATTCCCTTATGTATATCATTCATTATCAATAAGGTCACAAACGCGTTCAAATTTCGTCTAATATAGGTGCAAACTGAATCAAGACCTTGCCATAAACATTTCAGTAAACAACATCAAGCGACAGCTAGTACGTAATTGACTATATGTATATGGCTTGTACAGAGGGGCATTGTTTACCCGAAAGGCAGATTAGGGAATTGTGGGTGTAGTCTACAAACTCGGTTGTTTGGAACTGTCGTGCAACTTACTCGGGAGCATACCTTCGATAGTTCAGAGACAGGGCGTCAAAAGTGAAGGTTATTTGAACATCTGACGTCATAAATAGTGAAGGTTTTTAAAGAAGATCAGAGAAGAGAATACGACGTAAAACAGATATAAAAAGCAAAAGAAACGGTTAAAAACCGTATAAAAACGCTGCAAAGAGGTCTGAAATCTTTCATTTGGCGACTTTTCGAAGTGCAAGTTTTCGCTCCAGGACCAGCAATTCGCAAAACGGGGTTTTGATATTTGATGCGTCCCTTGAATTTTTCCCCCGCATTGACGTTCCTGTTCTCTGGGACGTTGTCTGGATTGTTGCGCTTATTGTTTTGAGCAATAATCGCCCAAGCTGGAAAAAATCGATGCAAAAGCACTGAAACAGAACAAGGTAAAGAAAAACGCACTTTTTACGATTTTTCGCAAAAAATTCTACCATAATCGAAGAGGTAAAGGCTGGGTGGTTGTCTGCATTATGAACGGAAGCAAGATCCATAGAATGCACGAAAAAACCGCGTGAAAAGAGTTCAACTAGGAGAAAAACAAGAGATTTTCAAAAACAAGGTTTTTGAAAAATTTCTCGAAAATCAAAAAATGTGGTTTTGGGACGTTGTCAGCGTGAAAATAGAGATCAAGAGCTTCAGAATGATATCTAGCTTGCTAAAATTGGGTTCGAAACAGCGAAGAAAAGGGTACCAGAGCCAAATGCCCCGCGCCCCGCGTTTGGGGTAGCGAGGTAGCGCGCAACGCGCGGAGACGCAAACGAGCAGCGGAGACAGACCAGAGCCGACGGGGCTCTGGCCGCAGATCTCCGCTGGTTCTCAACGAAACTTTGCAACATTATATATCATTCTGATTGTCATGACACGACGAGAAGAACTGACAACCTCTCAAGCTATAAAAATCACTCATTAACGGGATAGACCAGCGTTTTCGTGCGCAACTCTCTGCGCAAGACTGAAGCGCAGTTTCTTGTTTCTATTTAACTCCAATAGCTTTTCTAAACTTCTGAAACTCGATTTTGTTGAAATGAGAGGATAACTGAGAAATTTTGTCTTGAATTCTGGCGAAAATGCCACAGAAACCTTCTTTTTAAGGTAAAAAAGGCTATGAAAACGCAAATTCTCGGTTTCGCTCAGATAAACTAAAGATATTATCCCCTACATTTGCTTCATTGACATTCGTTCCGATATAGTCAGGATAATAACATCCGGAGCGAAGCCCCGGATGACTTCTGTTTTTTCCAAGTGAAGGTTGTGCCCCATAGCCCTCAAAATTTAGATTACCAGAGTACGTGGCTCTATGTATCGAGGGTATGCTCCGGAGCATCGGCCGTTTACTTAGCATGTGCACTGATGAACGCCTGGTCTGTAAGAGACAAGGAAGCACGACAAGCCCGCTTGGAAAACATATCCAGATCATGAAGACGATTCGCTTTGAGTGTCTAACATGTTAACGTAAGATTGCGGCTTGCAAAGCATGGAAACGTCGTTTATTCTCTTGAGCCAGCAATGTTGAATGGCAAGAATGGGCAGTATTTTATCACTAGCGATCTTATGCCGTTCATATCGCCTTATGCCGTTGATATCGCTCTAGCAATCATAAAACACCCACAACTGCTTGAGTTATCCAAGTGGGAGTGTTCAGTCATTCGTCATCTGTGGGTGCCACTAGGCGAAGTTGTTGGGATTGGTGAGCTGCCATGGTACCAGAATTCTGTATTGTCCACTTAGAATAAATCGAACAAAATTCTGAGCGAGACCAGCTTTCAGTCCTCTGAGGAAGACAGTACTGCCGAAATGTCAAGCTGATAAATAATGTTTGTAACAAACCTATGCAGTGCAACTGCATTGAAAGATAGTACTACTACTACGTGCCCGGGTCTCACGAACAGTAGGCGTAATTCTATACGTAGATAATTTTGCTGCATTGAGACAGACATATCCATTGACCTCCTCGTCAATGTATCCAACTCGTAGTCTCGATACATAGAGCCACGTACTCTAGTAATCTTCACTTTGAGAGCTATCAGGGCACACAATCTTCACCTGGAAAAAACAGAAGTCATCCGGGGCTTCGCCCCGGAGGTTATTGTCCCGACTAGATCGGAACGAATGTTAATGAAGCAAATATAGGGAGTAATATCTTTAGGTTATTTCAGTGAAACCAAGAATTTGCGTTTTCATGACCTTTTTCACGTTAAAAAGAAGGT